ATGTGATTGTGAACTGGACCTCTGATCTTGGGAGGGTTTGGTGCAGCTTTTCTTCTGATAGCAAAGCAAAGGATCCAGAATGCCCCAAGAGTAATTTCAAGATTAAACAGTGTGGTTTAGTTAAACGGGCAGCTGCAACTCATAATGGAAATTTGTGGGTTTATAGATCACTTATTTTCTGCAAAAACAAATGTTCCCGAGAAATTGTGATGCAAAAAAAAAGAGAGGAAAGTTTGTCTTTCCCTCCTGATGAGCTGGCACACAGAAATGGGATGTAGCTTCTCTGAGTTCTTGACTTGTTTCGTTTTGCATCCAAAAACATCTTCAAGAAAAGCTTTTGCATTGCATTCCATGGTGTGTGTGAGAAAACACTGTGTGCACATATGCAATTACATTTGGAGTGATAAAGAGAAAAATGGCATTTTGTGATGAAGTTCTGATGCTCTGTAACTCTGTTGCACCACTAGACCTCAGACAACCTGTACAAAGAGCAAAGTGTCATGAAACGCCCTGCAAAACACGGCATTAATAGTATCTGTTCTGCATGCAGAGAAGCAGGTAATACAACTTGGTGAAGGCCACAGCATCAGTATCAATACGAGGAGCAGATGTGAGTGCATTACTGCAGGTCCTGCCCTGGAGTCTTGGGGTTTCAGAACCGTGTGGGGGTCTCCTACATGTAGCATTTGACTGATATCTTCCACTCCATTCTCTGGGATGTTCTGCTGCTCGCACTGTACAATTAAGTTAACTTTTTCCTTAACGCACTACTCTGGCATGTGCAGAGTTTGTTTCTTTGCCAGAATTTCAATGTTGAAGCCGAGGAGGTATCAAATGAAGCCTCCTGATCCTTTCCAGGATGAGTCGCCTCCGGGGATTTTTCTCCTTTAGAAGCTGTGTGCTCTTGCTGATGATCAGGATAGGAATTTCAGCTGATTTCTGCAGTTAGCGCAGGTCAGTTGTTGCTGCTTGTTTCTCCTCTATGAACATTTATGGAGAAAGCATGGGGGAGTGCATTACTCCTAATTCTCCAATGTCCTTCATTTAAATGCGTAGTCACAAATCAAATAGTATCTTCATCTGTGCAAGGATACCAAAATACATCATTCTGTCCTTGAGCCAGCAAGTCAAGATCTGTGATGTTGTTCTCTCTCTCCCTGTCCCTTTAGTTCAAGGATGGTCTTTTTGAAGAGTCCTGATCTAACTAGGACTGAAGCTCTGCTTCGCTCTGTGATCAGGGGACTACCTGTTCTTGCAGGGCTCCAAGGCTTCATCCTGTTTAAAGCTCCCATGAACAAACAGGCTGCTCATCCCATCCCCTTCTAACTCACTGTTGGCTCCTATACTGCTATATTTATACTCCTGTAGATTGCATAGGAAGATTTCACTTAGTGAGTATTTTGCTTTTGTTTGTTTGAAAAGACGTCTAATGAAAGAAGAGAAAAACACAGCAAGATTTTGTTATGGTTTTTGTCTCCGAAAAATCTCTTTTGTGATGATATATATAAGCGAATTGGAGCCTTGTTCTTTGAAGAAAAGCAAATCATGTGAAAAACGCTCTGCACACTCTGCTCTCGAGAAGGCTGGTAGAGAGTATCCGCGCAGGAGAAACCAAGCAGCTTTCAGTGCTGGCTGAGGACATCCAGCTCCCCCATGGAGCTCAGTCGTAGCGCAGGGGGGTGTTCAGCCCAGAGCAGCCGTGCGTTGCTGCTCAGCGAGACCCTCGCCCAGTCGCTGCGGCCGCTGCCACGAGCGGAGCCGGTGCCGGTGCTGGGGGTTGCCCTGGCCAGCGTGGGCGCCTGGCCCTCCGCGGCCGCTCCTCGTGGGATGTGCTGCTTTGGGGGAACTTGCGCTGGTGGAAGTGGGAGGTGAGACGTGAAAGGGACCTCCAGAGAAGGCCGCAGCTCCGGCCTTTGCTTTGGAGAAGGGCGGATGGTGCTGAAGTTCTCGCTTTCATTCATCGCCCTCTCTCACTAGTTTCTGTTTTCTCTGAAGAGACCCAAGAGAAGAGCTGCTGCCCGGCCATTCCCGCGACTCTTGCTGCGGCGGAGCCACTTGCCCGGCTGTGCCACCCTTCCTTGGGAAACTGTCCGCTCTCCCAGGGCTAGAGATTTCCCTGGAGCAAGCACATCCTTGGCTCTGTTTCTGGCTTGCTGAGCCATTTGTGTGAGTTGTGTGACGTTCCTTTAACAAACAACCATGTGAGCCTTGAAATTGAACTGTGAATTCAGATCTGAATTTCCCGGACAAAGTCAGGAGGTCTGGATTGGCAGCTGGTTTAGACTAATCTGCCGTCTCTTGAGAGTACTAGCACTGGTCAGGGGAGTGAGGAAGGGCTCTTAGACACAGATGGTTCTTCTTCCCATCTTCTCCCTTCTGGGTGTTTGAAGGGAGAGTAGGAACACTTGGAGATCAGTGGGAATGTGCTTGGCAGCTGGAGGCTGCCAGGTGCAATTGCAGCACTTGATGCAGCTTCTCCTAACGCCTGCTGCATGGAGGCTCTCAGGAGTCCTAGGTGTGCGCAGCAGGCGCTGGATCCCTTCTCTTCAACTCCGAGTTCACAGTCATAGCTTGCAGGAGAGTCTAGAGGCCAAAAATACATATGTATTAAAACAAAATCCCCACAAAGAACACACAGCCTGTAGTAGTGAAACATGAGACTATAGCAGAGAGTTCCTGTGAGGTGCTAACAGAAAGGCCTTGAGGTACCATTCGGTCGTCGGCTTTTCACAGCAAGGAAGGTATCCTGTGGTCGTACTTATATAGACGAGCTCTGCCTGGATGGCTGCTCTACACCTCGTGTGGCTGCAGTCCTATTTCAGATCTTGTGGCCAAAAAAAGCTCTTTTGACTTTTAAATGAGAGCAAGTTACCAGCTGTATTTGCAGACCAACTGCATAGCCGGTGCAAGAACGCGGTTGCCTGCTTGTTTGGTAGTGTTAACCGCATGGAGCAGATAGTTTCAACTCTCCTAAAACTGCTCTGGCTTCCTGTTTGCTTTGTGGTGCAATTAAATGTGGCTTCTTTTTTCCTCTTGAGTAAGGGGAGAAGAGAGGATATTCTAGGCCTGTTAGTGCTTGGTCTGCAAAGTGGTGAATACAGTTTCATAAATGTTACTTTTTACTGAAATTGCTAGTGTTGATGTGGTTAGGACCCAGGTGGGCAAGCATGGTGATTTCCTCTCAAGGTGCACCCTGGACAGTTGAAAGTATTTTTGCTAGGCAGTCCTGGAAATAAAGGTGGAATCCTGGAAATAAAGGGAAGGGGGTTAAAACAGAAAGTGCTTTGGTGAGTAATCATTGTGACTTGGGGCAGTCAAAAGATGAGTAGAAAAACATGCATTAAGCCTGGGCAGGTCCGCAGCATGTGTCCTGTATAATGGAGCCTATGGTAAATGCCCCCTTCTTGTTCTCCAGGGCATTTAGTTATGCATGGAAATATATATATTTTAAATAAAGTCAGTTTTTGTCATCTGGCAACTACTTTCACATCACTTTCAGATATCAATTTATTTTTCTTTCTTGTGTTCTGCTCTAACCACAAGCCTGGACGCTATTGATGAAAATTTCAGGGATACAAAATCAGGTTTTTGGCGAATGTGGTGGAATTGGTGGCCTCTGCTGCATGGCGAGAAGCCATGATACGAGCCAGGAAAATTCACTTGCTTTATGAAGAGCTCTGAAGGGGTAAGTTATACTGTGACAGCACTGCACGGCCTGGACGTGCTGCTCCTCGTCTGCCCTGCACAATTCGATGCCTGCCACGCGGGTGCCGCTTCCAACCTGTCAGTGCTGCCTTGCTCTTGGTGCCATCCACCCTTCCCTTCTGCTCTTCTTGGAGGTCTTGGATCCTTCATTTGAAGGTTGCAGCTATTTTTTTTCTGACTTTCAGTTCCTTCTCCCCTTTCCTATGGTTGCGCTTGTCTGTTATCTCGTAAGCCACATGGGCAAGTGTGCTGGAAGAGCTGGGTGAGGCCTGAAATAATGAGTAGAAAGGCTGTTGAAAAGGGAAAAAAATAGCAGAACAGAAACAAGAATTCCAGTAAACAGTCTGTTAAAAATATCTTCAACACATGTCGGTTCCCATGATTTAAAGTAGACAGAATCCGAGCTTTGAAAGGTCACATTAAGACGTGATAGTGGAGATTCTAAGAGAGACGGAGAACAAATGTTTCAGGAGGCACGCTTTGTGCTGGTGGCAAGATATCCATGTTGCCAATTTGTTATGTTCAGGAGGGAAAAAACAGGCATACTGCTGGAATAACAAGCTCTTGCTGGCTTAAAGCAGGGGGATTATGCTTGGATATGCGCTGCCAGCAGCCACCCCAGGCCCCAGCTGCAGCACTGAGCACCTCACACCAAGATGCTCAGTGTTGCCAATAAAAAACGGATTTTTTCCCAATGAGCCAATGGCCTCTGCTGCTGAAAGGGGAATGGGATGGCGGTGAGTGGCAGGATTCTGCTCTCCAATGGCTGCTCCTTCAGGAACAGGGCGCAGAGCCCTGGTGCCCGAGCGGCACTGGGGCGGCACAGTGGACGTGGTGCTGGGCGCTTCGTGCTGCGCGGGGGCTGCCGTGTGACTCGGCTGCTGGGCCAGCACAGGTGCCCAGCACCGGTGCTGCTGGGCCCGGTACTGGTGCACGGGCTCTGGCGCCCAGTGCATCGGCACTGCTGCATGGTGCACGGTCAGCGGTGCCCGGCTCGCTGCTGCATGGTGCACGGTCAGCGGTGCCCGGCCCGCTGCCGTGTGATGCCGAGCGCGGTGCCCGGGCACCGGGGCACGACGCGCGGCGCGGGCCGCTCGTGCCCCGACGCCCCGCCCGGCCGGCGCCGCGGCGGGACCCAGGATAACGCGCCGGGACCGCGGGTCAGCGCCC